TCCCTACAGGTTACCTAGAAAGTGACACAATAACTAGAAGTCCTTTCTGAGCCAACGCAAGAAATAACTAGATTAGAATTTAAAACAAATTGCAGTGTGTGCTGTTTGAATGGTGCTTTTTTACAAAATTAATTAAAAATACGAATAACAATCAGCTGACAGTGCCCCAGCCAAGCCCTCTTGTGGTTCCAAGTATTTATAAGGCCAGGCTAAAACAGTGTTACAGTGGGCTGATAATGTATTAATGGTAAAGTATCTTTTTTGAAAGGTCAAACTGGAATACCAGAATCTGAGATGTTAGTGCTCTGCAAGACATACCAAGCATCACATTTTTTGCACTATATAGGATTATGTCCTAAAACAGACAGAATTAGTATGTATCTTATTATTACTTTTTAAAATTCAGTGGTAAGAATCAGGAAATACTTTATGCCCTATGATACCTTTTAAAACCTGCTATGTTTTATTTTAAATTAAAGCCTCTAAATTCTTTACAGTCAGAAAAATCAAGTCTCTTAACTATCATTTTTTAGTTTCCATTGATAATCACTGTTTCCAGAAAGGAGCTGACAGTCACATGATACTAACAGACAAAAAGAAACCCAATTCTCTGCAGGTGAAGCAGCACCAGAGCGATGCTCTGCAGGTATCTCTCTTCTAGGGACAGCCTTCTAAAAGTTGTGCACCTGGAACAAGGACACTTCTCATCTAGAGTACTTAAACACGACTGAAATCCTACCTTCCTTGCCAATGCTGTGCAGTAACACTACTAAACGCCACGAGAGGGCAGCAAGGCCGCTTTAAAAGGAAGTCTAACAGGCTGTCTTCCTCTTGTACCATCTCCTCTGCCCCACTCACCGCATGTTCAGTTGTGTGCCAGAAACTAAGGAGGCAGTTGATGACATGCTCCCAAAATGTATGGCTCTAACCAGCACAGACGGTCACAGAATTGCACATGTGAATCAAGAATTGTTTCACCTTTTTTTTTTTTTGTATTTTGTTTTTAACTGAGCCTTCATGTAAATCTAAACTAAATGTGACAACTTATCCAGCAATTCAAACAGAAATTAATTTGACAGGCATCTAACAAATATGCTATATAAGTGTAGCAGAACTGCACATATACAATACATTTTATATTTCAGGACTATTAGGCCTTTCTTCAGTTTAATTTAGGAGGCATCTCTTTTTAAGATTTGTAAGATAACTATGCTGCAACTGGCAGACTCCTGTCTAGTCCATCAAACTACTTAACCTCATCATGCTAAGCAGGATCATAACACAGGAAGGCTGGAAATGCATCCATTGTGCCTAGAAGAACCTGTCTTCAGAAGCATACAGGATGCTCAACCTTGTAAAATTATGGATGCTAGTATAAAAAATGGTAATAGGTAATTAACTCTTTCTTCTCATGTTACTTTTTACTACAGCAGCAGTGCTATAGCTTGGTGGCAATTCTGCACTTGAAAATTAGTAACACCCTCCCCCCAATAAAAGCTTATTGTCATAGGTACTTCTTACATGTAGATGTACTCTTGCATACAACAGACTATTTTCTATACTTTCTCAGACCAAAACCACCAAAGCATTAATGTGGACTTTTAAGACAACTGGTCTCCTTCCTGAAAATTTTTAGTAGGAACAGCTTAGAAACTGAAAAATGAAATCTGAATTCTGGTTACCCAAATCCCCCTGGTCAGCCCACTGCATCCTTCTGCTCTTCAGCAACTCAGGACTCTTGTTTTACAGATTCTGATTCCAGACTTGAAAGGTAACAACCTGGGTCTTACAAATAATTTGGGGAACATATACTATTGAATAAAGCACCTAGTCTAAACATCTCTTAAACACTGACATTTTAGAAGCCTTGTCAGGCATCAGTATGGCCACAAATTACAAACCTCTGGGGGAAAAAACATGCAGTTCACTCTCCACATAATCACTTTGCTGTCACTTCTGATCTTGTAAACAGAGATCTCCGATGCCATGAATAATATTAAGTTGTTTTACAGTTTAGCTGAACACCTAAATCCCTGTGGTTAGTCCATAGGGAGGAAGAGGCACAGAGGCATAGAGGAAAGTGATACAGGCCATCTAAAACAGAGCCTTACTAAGCTTCAATTTAAAGCACTTTAAATTACTGACTCCTTAAGCATGGGTAAAATATTAATGGAAAGGAGAATATTATTAAAAACTAGATTGACATAATTAGTCTGTTAGTACTTATTCTCAAACTACTACTTCAACTGTTTCTAAGACATAAAACAGATCCACAGCAACTTGTTTAAATCGATCAACAGTATTATTTTCTAGTAAAACACAAGCAAGTATAAACACTTTAAGCTTGATTTCTACAAAGTATTTGTTCTTCTGTAAACCAGTAGCTTCATCTCAGCCTCAGCTAAAAATTCCATCTTCATATGGAAAATAGAGCAACCTGGTCTAGTGGGAGGTGTCCCTGCCCATGAAGGGGGTTGGAACTAGATGATCTTCTGGGTCCCTTCCAACCCAAACCATTCTGTGACTCTATATATGTATTTGTATGTGATTATCAATGCAAGTGGCTACTATGCCTGGCTTACCAAAGCTCAGAGTAGAGCAACAGTACAGGCCATGCCAAGTTCTCCACACTGTCTTGCCAAGGGGCCTTGACTCTTATCCAGAATGACCACTTCTAAACCAACACCAATCTAAACTAGTAACAAGCTTGGCTTGCAACACACAGAAAATACCGACCTCCAGAAGCCCAGATTTTAAAAACACTGTTCTACACCAAAACCTTAAAATGCTGCAACATACCAACAAGCAGAGTAAGCACTACCAATCTAAAAGGATTTTTAGCAACACAGAGGAAAAATTCCTCTTGCATTTTTTTTGTCCCTGGGAGTGAAAGGGTAGTTCAAATTCATGACCTTACTGCTCCAACTGATTACAGTGAAGAAGCAGTTACAGACAACTGACAAGCCCCTTCAAATGCAGGAAAACTGACACTTGAACACAGTAATTAGCATAATCCTATTTTAAGATGTTGGATAAGAGATGGTGAGAAGAGATAAAAACAGCAAAATATCACAAATTTCTTGTCAAAGGGAAATTGGTCTTTTAAGCTACAAATTGCAGCAGTGTCTGACAAAGGGGTTATAAAACCATGCACCCTTTCCCAGTATTGTGCTCTAGTATTCTGGTGGCTGACACAGAAGCAATCGAGTTTGATGCCCATTTTAAAACAGTTAAGTTAAACTTAGCTGAACCTGTTGATATAAGCAGGCAGGACAAGTTCTGAAGGTGGAGGGAGAGCTGCATTTGACAGGCATTATCAGAATACCAATGGCAACTGCATGCAGACATGAACTTACAATGCTGTTGTACTCTGAAAAGTGACTACGTGATAATCATACCCTTCTTAAAACATGCTCCTGGTTTGATTTCAGGTATAACTTCTCATCTGGTGAGAAAGCTTTGTCCTCATTTTTTAGATGTGAGAACAAAACAAATGCTTCCAGGAGTGGCTGATGAACACACCAGAATAAATTTACACAGGACAGATTATTAGCTGCAGAAACAGTGTTCAGCTTTTGGTGATGGTGGACCTTTGATGTAACTGCACACAGGTATGACACAGGGCAGAGTGCAGGAAATGCTAAAAAAAAAAAAATTACTGCATTTTTGTGAACCAAAAATGCAGAAAATCTCCATTTCCAAATTTCCTATCCATTGGGTAAGGTAGCAAAAGGTTTACTCATAATCAAGGTCCACTTCAGTTGGAAGATGAAGAGGCAGTATACATGGAAGCCAACAAGGTTGTGTCAATTTTCAGAGTACAACTGTGCATTCTGGCCTTTACACAATGATCTAGCACATAATCTGAAACTTCTTATGCTTAGTTCACACTGCCAAATAGTCAGAAACGGATTCAAATCAGTATGTAACAATTTCTGCTGAAAGAGGTCATCGTCCTCTGTACTAATCACAGCTTATTTTCTCAGAACTGAAAGAAGTCTTTTAACATCAATGAAATGTGAAACAACACAAAACTTTCAATGTTTTGAATTTTAGATAATGCCTTCCAAAATTTGGTTTCAGTATAGTTTTCAGTAATATGAAAACTATCGTGAGAGTACTTTGAAAAGAAAGAAAGAAAAAGATTTCCATGATAACCCCATTGTCAGATGTTCAGAACTTTCTCAAAAGCCTCCATTTGGGCTGAAACTTTCCATGCTTGGTCTCAGCCCAAAGGTGCACTTTGTAGACCTGAAAAAGGAAAAAAGGTAAGTAAAAAAAAATAAAACGTGCTGAAACATCCCCTTGCCCAGCTTTACTTTGGGTATTCAGCACTTAACTGTGAAGGGGACACTGAACTATAAATCTAATATATTTAAAGTACTTTTAACCTTGTTATACAAATCACTCACACATTTCTCACTAAAAATGTATTTCGGTAGGCACCAAAATTTCTCCTTCTTTTATTTGCACTAACAGAAGTATAAGGGACTAGGTTGCCTATTTCCAGCACAAAAGTGTGCACTGAATAGTTAAGTGACTGGAGCAACAGGCAACTCAATATTGAAATTACATCCAGTTTCACTGTCTGATACTTAGCACCCAAATTAAATGATCACAAATATTTTCAGCAAAAAAAGGGAAAGTTTATTAAGTAACCTCAGTTTAGAGCCATTATCTTCTAAATATACTGTAGGCTGTGGTGGGGTTTCTTTAGATTTTTTAAATTTTATTTTATTCTTAATTTTATTTTAAAGGTTAAGCTCCCATGTCATCTAACTAGCTTTAAAATTTTCTGAAATATGATCATAGTTCTTTAAAAAAATACATCTCATAACTGAGAGCCACCACTGAAAAAAACCTTTGCTACTTCTTCTACAAATGGGTTTTCTTTTTTTCCACCAGCCTGGTGATAAACTATTGCCTTCCCAGCAAAGCATCTGAGCCATGAAGTAGTAGGCTCACTCATTCAAAAATCACCTTTCAATACATTTTACATTGAGAGCTTTGCTCACTTTTCTAACTTCAGCATGATAAGGGGCAGTAGTGAAAGTGACTTCAAAGGTAAACACAATATAATCTTAAAATGTCCTTAAAAGTGGTAACACACTGAAGCAGAAACAAAAATAATGCACCTTTGCTTGTTATACTGTAGAAACATAATACAAAAAGGACCAATAAGTCTTACTGGGCTCTCTATCAGGCTTCTGCAAGGGAAGAAAAATCAGTTTTTGGCCCAATCCTGCAAAAAGCTGAGTGCCCTCCACTGTCAAATCAACAAGCACTTGAGTGTGCCCTTCACCTTTCAGGCATGGCCCCTCTTCATGACAAAACTGTTCAACAGCAAAGGTAACGTGACATCTCTTAGGCAACATATATTGTACACATAGAAATACATACACACATACAAACAAAAAAGTGTTTTTTTTGTTTTTTTTTTTGGTTTTGTTTTTTTTACCTAAATGCAAACTGGATGAGGATCCATGTGATGAAAGTGATGGCGGTGGCGTAAGTGAATGTCCTGGCGTTTGGCTTGGCAGAGGCATGCCTATTGGACTTGGAGAGGAGGAAAATCCCAGACTATTGTAAAATGGCTGCCCTATGGGTGCTAGGCTGCTACTAGATCTTTTGTACAAGTCAGAGCTAGTAGATAGAGAATCTCTCCTTGTGGCACTACTACTTGCAGAACTGCCAACTGAAGAAGAAATAAAAAGACCCTAATTACACAGTGTCAACTGAATAAAACCTATCCCCAACTACAGCTGGGCAATAACAGATGAGATCACAATAATTACAGCAATCTTTATGACAAAGACAAGTACTGTGATAACCACACATGCTTTTAAGTAAATCTAAGTGGGTATAAACATACCACTGATAAGTAACTTCACCAATGCCCATGTCTTTCAACATTTCATTCTAGACTTCTCACAGCAATATTGCAGTACTCTGTTTTAACCACCTGCCTTCAGGCTTTGGGATAAATATGGAATTTGTGAGATTAGAATTACACTGTCACAACACATGATTCCAAAAAATACTTCCACTAAACTCTGATAACATATTTTTTTTCCACTGTAAATTCTTAGATAGTGCTACTTCATTTCAGGAAAAAGGCTCAAGACAACTGGCTGTTGTTTAAGGGTTCAGAAAATAATTTCTGTTGCTGTTCAGCTGTTTCTGAACTTCCTCTTGTTTGTGAATCCCTCACCTGTAGGAAAAAAATTACTACTTAGAATTCCCTATGAGAATTACGGTTCTCAAAGAAGTGTTTTGAAAAGACATAAAGGAGGAGTAGGCTAAGAAGAAGATGAGAAGCAGAGACAGGAAAATTAGGTGAGAAACTAAACATGTAGTTTTACTGCTACCACTATTTCTGAAGTCAAATGAGACTAGAAGCTTGGGCAAGAGTGGATTAGTGAATGACAGGTTATCCTGAACAGCATCATTCAGCAGGGCTATGAACAGTCTAGGACAAATTAGGAGAACAATTAAAAGTTCTTAGAAATGTTAAACTCTACTACCTGTAGCCCACCAGCGACAAATTAATCGAGAGTGCCTATTTTAACATTATACTCATGAACAAAACCAAGATTGTGGATATTTTGATAACAAAGAGGCTTCTGAAGATGAATTTGGAAAATTTATTTCTTCTTCAACTTAAAAAGGAATAGGTCAGAATTTATATACTTCCACAATCTTTACCCTGGTCATGTACTTTCCTACTAAAGCTGGCAGCTTGGCCCAATATAAAGGTCACCTGATAATTCCCATTTGAAGACAGTAATTTGTTTTCAACTAACATTAGCAACATGGTTAATACTTTTCATGGCAGGTACCTGCTTGGACCAAATTCTTCCAAGAAGTTCTACCCAAACAGCACTGCCATTTCAGAAATACAGACAAGGAAAGAAGCTTTATCCTTAGCAAAATAATTCAGCAACGTATTATCTGTGAAGTTAATGCTTGAATGTACTCAGACCAATGTGCTAGCAACAGGAGACCTTTATTTTCACACTCTCTTTGATGGAGCTGTAGCCAAATCACAGTTCCCACAAGTTCAGCACAGATCTGCTACAGATTCATAGCTGAAAACTTAAAACTCCTGTCCATCCATGGCACACTTGAGATGATTGATAAAGGTTTTCCCTGCAACTGAGTTCCTAGGTTTCTGTGTGCCATACCAAAAATGGACTCTGAAACTGCTGTCCAAGACCCCACCTTGTGTTTGGAAGGGCTATCAGGCAGTGTGGAGAGGAGACAAAAGCCAAACACAAGAAATAAACCAGGGAAGGGAAAGAAAAAGGAAAAAAATAACCAGGAGGAGAGAAAGGTCAGACAAAGGAGTCAACAAGGAGACTGCAAGAAAACTAGCAAGCACTTTCAAAACCCGTGGGACTGAGGATGAAAATAAAGCAGATCTGAAGTTAGGCAGCAGAAGGTATATATGACGGTGAGGCAAAAAGACTGGAATAGTAAGCTGATGATGGGAACTTCACACAGTACAAGGAGAAACAGAAACATATTTGGGAAGGGAAGCAAGAGATAAATGTTGCCTGGAAACTGGGACGGAAGACACACTAGAGGAGAAGCCAGAAGGAAAGAGATACTGGATTAACTAGGCAAGGAGA